TTCTAAAATGTCTTAGTCTCACTGGATCTTTAGTGAATAGAAGCAGAAAATACTTGATTGGGTTATATTGTATTGCTATGTAAGAGAAAATATTATTCCACTTAATTTTTCACATGGTCATGACCCTCTATCTTAGCCTGGTTGAATTCAGAACACCTATTGCATTCTCTGTCATTTAGCCTTTAAATGTTGCTAAATGAAATGCCTTCTCTTACAAATTAATATAACCAGGAAGACTATTCCTCCTCTTATTTTATGTTTCCATCTATTATACTTTCTAATTCTTTTTTCATTTCTGCTCTCTCTTAACTGGATTTATCATCTCTTGATTTAGAACTTATAAAGAAAAACCTAGCCTGTTCTTCTGATAGTTTTTCTTTATGCAAATTTCCACATATACTTACCCCTATTGATTTATTAGATAATCAATAGCTATGTTTTTTCTTTAATACTTAAAAATGGTTACTTCTCACTTTTTTATGTCCATTGCTAATATTAAAATTTTTGATGCCAATCAGGTGGTCTCTTTCTGTACAAGAGTTTTTTTGATGACCTTTTTGTCTTTGATGTTCTTAAATGTTACAATTATACATTATATGTGATCAGCACTTTATCGATGGTTTGTATCTGAGGTCTGTAATTTTTCTGTTGTACTAGTGTCCTAGTCTGCTGAGGCTGTAAAAACAAAATATCACAGATTGGGTGGCTTCACAAAAGAAACGTAGTTTCTCACAGTTCTGGAAGCCAGAAGTTCAAGATCAAGATACCAATCAACTCACTGTGTGGTGAGGGCTCTCCTCCTGGCTTGCAAACTGCTGCCTTCTGGCTGTGTCTTTTTAGGTACTTCCCCAAGTGCATGTGCATGTAGAGAAGAAGAAAGCCAGTTTTCTGGTGTCTCTTCTTATTAGGATACCAATTCTATCTAATTTGGGCCCTAACTTTAAGACCTCATTTTACCTTGATTGCTTCCTTAAAGGCTCCATCTCCAAACACACTTACACTAGGATTTAGGCCTTCAACACATGAATTCTAGGGAGACAGAGACAGTTCATAACAATGATCTTAGGAAGAGGGACAATGATGGAACACAAGGAAAGGAAGACCCCAGGTACCACAGAGCCCCTGCTGACCACTCACTATTGCCTCCTTTTTTCTCCATCAGCCAATCTATCTGGTGAGGAATTTTCCTTTAAATTCTCAGAAATAAGAAGCTTTAAGGGAAGACCATCTCTTTAGATTGTAGTTCACCATTTCTGAGGAAATAGAGTGAAGCAGGAGGAGATGAATGCTCATGGTAGTACCAGTGGGACCCTGCATCTTAAATACACAGGGCTTTTCACCTGCATGGGGGAGGCTAACACCTGGAGTGGATATTACTGTAGATCTCTAGCAAAGAACAGTTGATGATTTATCCTAGTACTGAAAAGAGAGTTTAAGAGCCTCCCTTCAAGCAACGGTTTTTAAACTTGAATGTGCATTAGGATAACTGGGAGGGCTTGTCAAACAGGTTATTGGGCCCCACCCTCAGAGTTTCTAGATTATAGAATTTCTTATACATGCCCCTGTGATGTTGATACTGCTGTTCTAGAGACCACACGTGAAGAATTATTGCCTTAAATCTCTCCTTTAGCTCAGGATCCTATTTTCTATCTAGAGATTTCTGTATTTGTTTACATTTGTTGTTTTTTAATGTTTTTAATTTTATATTGCTTTAGTGGTTAATTCCTATACTTATATTCCTTTCTTGCTTTCATAGATTTCTCAAAGTTGACTTTGAAGAGAGAACAAGGAGTTTATCTTGCTTTTACTCTTAATAGGAAACAGAAGCCCCTCCATGGTTTCTTATTAGAATTTTGAATGTTGTTGATGATTTTTTGAAAAAAGCATATACATTGTAGAAAACATTGTGCAACTCAAAAACTTAAAAAGTAAAATTTACCTATAATTCCTCATAGCAAACCTTAACATTTTCATTTAAATCTTTCCATCTCTCTCTCTAAAAACATGGCATTACTTAACATACTGTGGATTATGAGTTAGGAATTTTAACATGAACATACACAGATGATTTTTAAATTTCTTGCATCAAATGTTAAAAAAAATTCTGAATGGAAACTCTGAATATGATTTATGTTCTATTCAATAAAGATCCTCCCTTAAAATGTTCCTTACACATAAAACTTTGAAAAAAAGGAGTAATATGGTTACAATTGAGTGTGCATTAGCCAGGCAGTCCAAGATATTTAAGTATAGCGTTTAGGAAATTCAGTTATACTATAAAATCAAAACTGAATTTCAACAACAAAACAATTTTATTCATTTTTCAGTTAAATGATTTCTTGCTACATTTGACTGTTGTAAAATTCTACAGTGTTCACAATCTTTTACTTAAACTCGTCCTTTCAAATTGTAGGAGCATTCACATTTGCATTTCTTAGGTAGAAAAAAATTGTAAGATGTATGCTTGAAGAGTGATTGGCACTACCATACTTACTTGTGGTAAAAATGCCGTGGTACTGAACTACTAGAATCCGCCTGGCTTGCACTGCTAATAAATGATGACTGAAAGCATTTGAGTAGCATAACTAAGCAGCTTGACACAGAAGAAAGACAGTGATTTTGTTTGCCTCTCCCATTTGCTGACTGTCTTCTTTCATGGTATGGCAAAGTTCAGAAAAAGCTCCACATGGAATTTAGCTGGAACCAGATACTAGGTAATAGATTAATTCATGGCTTATGTAAAAAGGCTACTAAGTGACTTTTTAAACAGAATTTGCAATATTCTGGGTGCTAAGTAATAACAGTATCGATATCTAACATTTATCATACACTGCTATATTAAAAGCACTATGCTATATTCTTTCTTTATCTTGTGAAATACTTACAAGATAGAGTAGACCTATTATTTTACTAAGGTAGAGGACATATATTTGAGTTAGCCCATCATTTAATTATTCAATAATTATTTATTAAGAGCATATAGTTTGCTAGGAAATGTGTGAAGAGCTGAGACTCTGAGTTGGATGCTTTTTTTCCTAGAGCTCACATACCACTAAGGGAAAGAAAACATGCAAAACAATAAACAAATCAACTGATTAATCATAGCTTATGAAAAGTGCTTTGAAAGAAACGTTGGAAGAAAATCTTTAGCCAAGTTAAATTTAATGGACTTTTACTGTGCAAAGCAGGATTCCCAAATCAGGCAGCCTCCCAAGCCAGAGTAGGTTGAGAGAGACTCCTATGCAGCCACAATGGACAGAAAAAGGAAAGTGACATATAGAAAATGGAAGTGAGGTACAGAAACAGCCTCACATCAGTTTAGTGTTTTTGCCTTATTTGAACTGGTTTGAACAGTCGGCTTCCTTTGATTGTCCAAAACTTTGGGACTGGCACAGAAGTAGGTTACACTTTGTTTATACCTCCATTTAGGTTAAAGTTCACTATGTACAAAGGAAACCTTTAGGTTGAACTTAAAATACGTAAAGAGGCAGCTCTAGGCCAAATGTAAAGAGGAAGCTATACTTCATTTAACAAAATAACAGAGTAAATGATAGAGTCAGTTTAGGGAGGTGTGGTTAAAGAGAACCTCTTCTAAAAGGTGTTACTTAAGCTGAGACTTAAAGGTTAATGAAAAGCTAGTCGCATGTTCACCAGTTCCCCGGGTGAACAAATAAGTTTTGAGGCCATGAAATGAGAATGATCTGGGGATGTCTAATTCCATTGTGCTTAAAGAACACAAAATTTTGTTTGATTTCAGTTCTCATGTTTTTATTAATCACAATTAATAATATTGTCTATTTTTATGAATATTCTGTGTATACCTGAATGTGTGCTCTGCTGCTGTTGGGTGCTGTGTGTCAATTACATACACTTGGTTGATGGTATTATTCAGTTCTTCTCTATCTTTGATAATTTTCTTTTTAGTTTCTCTATCAATTACTATTAAAAGAGCATTGAAGTCTCAAGATATAATGATGGATCTTTTCACTTCTTTGGTTCTATCAGTTTTTTCTTCATGTATTCTGAAGCTCTGTTTTTACATACAGAAACATCTAGCATTACAATGTTTTCTTGGTGAATTGACCATTTCATTATTTTGTCCATCTTACATCATGAGTAATATTTCTTGTTCTAAAGAGTACTTTGTCTAACGTTAACATAAAGCTACTCGGTTTTGATTAGTTGTTGTATAGAAATTTTTTGCCATTCATTTACTTTAATTATATGTAGAGTTGTTGTAGATAGATAGATGTGGGTCTTTTCTAAAAAAAAAAATTATTCTTGACAATCTCTGTATTTTAAATGATGAGTTTAAAATATTCAAATTTAATAGAATTGTTAACATGTTTAAATTTAGATCTACCACTATACTATTGGTTTTCTAATTTTTCTTTTTCATTTTTATGTTTCCCCTTTGCTGCCTTCTTTTGGATTAGTTAAATGCTTTTTTTTGTATTCTATTACTTTATCGATGGATTTTTGAAGATATCACCTTGTATAGTATTTTTGGTAGTTTCCCTATAGGGATTATGGCGCATATATTTACTTCTTTAACATTCCCTTTAGAGTCAATATTTTATCACTTTAAAGGGTAAGTAGAAAATCATCAAAATATATGTATGTTTATTCTTTTATGCTGTATATTTCACTATAATTTTTGTTTTCTATCATCATGCATATCTTAGAGAACTGAAGAGGAGAAGAATAGTCTCTTATATTTTACCAAAGGCTTGCCATTTCTTTTACTCTTCCTTTATTCCTGATGTCACAAGTTTCTTAGTGATGGCAAATGCTCTTAGTTTCATGGAGAATAACTTTATTTCATTTTCATTTCTCAAGAATATTTTTACTGGATAAAGATTTCTGAATATAGAATAAATTTTTTTGCATCACTTAGAAAATGTTGGTCCACTTCCCCTTGACTACCGTGGGCCCTGATATAAAATATACAGTATTCAGATCAGAGTTCTCCACTTGTCTTCAGTTTTTGGGTGCATTCAAACATTTTTTTCTTTGTTCTCACTCTTGCTGTCTCTTTAGGTCCCTCATTTTTGCAATCTCCAGAATACTTCTGAATTCTCTGCAACCTCTTTTCCACATCCTCTGGTCAAAAAGCCCGGGCTTTAATATACCTGTTCTTCTATGTACTTCTCATAACTAAGTTTGCATTTAGAGCCAAATAATGGGAGGACAGCAAGAAGTGGAAGAAGCAGGGATCTACCCTATGTTCTCAGGATCATGATTCCTCTGTTAAAAAAACAAAACGATTAGGCAAAGTACTGTCAATACTGCCACATTCGAGATTAAGTTTAAACATGAATTTCAAAGAGAACAAACATTCAAACCATGGGATCACTTTATTTACACTTTTCCTGTAATCCCCATTTCAGTCCCATGAAATGTAAGCATCATTATTTCCAATAAGAACTAGAGAGATGCCTGGGCATAGAGGTGAGAGGATTGCTTGAGCCAAGGAGTTCAAGACCAGCCTGGGCAACACAGTAAGACCTGGTCTTTATAAAATAAAAATAAGAAAATTAATGAAAGAAAAGAAAAATGAAAAAAAGGAAATGTTCCTTCTCCTGGTTTTAGGTGTCTGTTGAACCACCACCAGTAATGCTTCGGCTATAGAATTCTCTCAGGGTTAGAGTATAGGAGATAATGGAAAAAAGGAAGAAAAGTAGCCACCAAGATTTCTCCCACTCTCTCTTTAAGAAGTCCCCTTTCCTATTTCTTGAAGCTCCTGGAGCTCTTTCTGCATTTATCCAGTATGCAATTTTATGCTGCCTTTGTTTCTAGGCCAGGAATACAAGAGAGGGGGAAATGTCAATATCATCACCAGTTTAGTGATACCTTGAATTATCATCTTGTTTCCCAATCTACCTACTACCATTTATTCTTTATAGTCCTCAGATATCTGTATTTAGTCTTGCATTCAGTGGGAGAGACCTCTGTTCAGGAACCTCCGTATTTTGGCCTGCTTAAAAAAAAAAATTCTTAAAAGGTGACCAAAGAAGATTGAGTAATGGAAATTGAAGGAAGGGAGTACAGTTGGGGATTATAGACAGGAGCAAGATCATAAATAGAGGGTGTTTGGATTTCATTCTAATAACAATAAGAAGTTTCTAAAGAATTTTAATCAGGACACATATGTATATTACAAAAAGATCACTTGTACTGCTGTATGGAGAATGAATCATGGGAATTTAAGATGTGTGTTGGTGGTTTAAACATCAAATACCAGTTGCAGAGAGAAAAGCATTTTCAAGGTGGGGCACAATAATTTGTCAATGGATTACATATGGGGAAGAGGAAAACAAATCGATAAGGATAATGCTGACATTTTTACCTTCAACAATTGGACAGGCAACAGTGACATTTACTGAAATAAAAAAGATGGGGAAAAGGCAAGAGTTAGAGCTAAATATAGAAGAGTTTCTGATCCTTTGGATGTGCTACATTCGAAACACCCATTATGCATCCAATTGGAGATGTCAAGCAGACAGTTGGAGGCATTCTATTCCATTATTACAGTAGCTACTGATGGTGAAGTATCTTGGATATATTTGGCATAGGTAAAAAGAAAACCATCTAACAAAGCATGCATGAAACACTCAAATATATTTCTCTATTTCTCACAAATACTCATGATGGGCCAGTAGTGCCATGTTTCTATGGGTAGAAATCATCCTCTGTTTTCTTTAAAGCTTATCAGACTCACGTTTGATGATGATGAGTTGATTGGAGGTTATTTCATAAGAAGCCTAAGGTACTTAAATTTTACTATATTGTAATACTTACAGTGGTAAACCAGTATTTGTTTTTTGGTGTCTTTTATAATCAATGTACAATATAATGTATTACATCTTGATGTCTGAGTTATTTCAAAGAGAAAAAGATGTTTCGGTACTTTTATTTTAACAGTTCACATTGTTCTTTTTCAGGCCATGTCACTTTGATGCCTCTCTGCCTGTGTGTGATTAATAGGTGATTCTTTATCCCTCATTTGGTCTTCTGGTCTCTGATGAGTCAGTATTATTCAGAATGCCCTCTTAATGAAAAAAACACTGTTTTCTGGAGCTATTTTTATCATCTAAGGTTTAGAACTTAAAGACCACCTGGATTTCTACTTGCTAACAAATCATGACAATCTTTCAACTCCTCATTACATCTGAATTATTAGCCTAAATCAGAAACTGTGCACACACACATGTACACACATAAATATACATACACTGCATACATATATGTGCATACACACACATTAACTCTGGTGGGGAATGTAGGATGGCCCTATACTTTTGCATTCTGTCTGTATCTCTCAGGATGAGGGATGTAACAGGAACCATGTTCCTCCAGAAATAAGACCGTGAGACAGAATGGCATCTAATTAAAATGTTTACAACATTTCCCATGAGATATAAGCCACTGACATTTTCCAGACTGCAAGCCAAGAAATGCTTAGGATTATACAGATGTACTTTGCAATCTACAATTGCCATGCAATGAAAACATAGCTTAGACACAGTTCAGGAAATATAGATTGGTTAACCTTTCTTTAGAACTCAGAAATTAAAAGTTAGGTCCGATGAGAATTTATGGTAAGTTGAGCAGCTCATCTCTTCTCAAAGTAAATCAAGAATCCATTTTCTCTTTTTCATAAGTCATCTTCCTCTAGAGTAGTTTCTCTCATCTGTATCTGAGGCTGCCAAAACCACAGCTGCTTCATTATATCTCCTCCCAACTGCTCTACTCTTCCCCCTAATTGTCACAGTTTGGCAGTCCTGCACTATCTTATTTCCAAGATGTGAGCAATGATGCTGACCTCAGCTCTCTTAACCTCAGCTCTCTGTTCATTCCTCAATTTCTCATAATATCAGTCATTCATGCCTTCTAATGATAAATGTTTATTAAGCAACTAACTACCCTGTTCCAGGCACTCTTAGAATGATGGAATGTGTCAATAATCAAAAGTAGACATAACTTCTATTCTCATGAACTTTGCATTCTGGTGGGGAGAGGGAACAAATAATGAACAAGAAATAAGCAAAGAACATTATTTTCTGTGGTGATAAATATCATGATGAAAAATAAAACAAGCTAGGGGAAAAGATAGTGCTGATGAGAAGCGTAATTTGGTCCTTTACCTTCAATTCTTCAGCATGCAAATCTTCACTTCTTTCCTTCAAGGATTGTATTGCCCTAGAATTGATTCTTTTACTCACAGGGGCATTCATGAAGACCCCAAATGCTCAACTGATTTTTCATAGTTCATTTTTATTAGTCTAAAATAACTGTTTTAGCCTTACAAAGGAGAGTGCACTTTGTCACTCCAAGCTTTGTTTCCTATCAGCAATGGATATAAGTCTGCATTATTATGCAAACATCGTCAGTTCTTGCTTTTTTACTCTCTGAGACCTGAAGATTTTTCAATACATTGTCTAATAGAGATGTCTATTTGTTGCTTCTACTTATTTTTCCAAAAATGCAGCAGAATCTTTGTGAGAAAACTAAACATTTCTGTACATTGAGCTACACTTGATTCTTAAGCAAGATTCTTTCTTGTCCTAATCACTGCAAGTGGAAAGGTGGCAATATACAAGTATTCTCCCCTTGTACAGAGAAATAGGTTGCAGTGTGATGAAAGAGAGGAGATATTTTTCTATTTCAGTAAAATCAGTTAAGATAAAATATGCTTTGGAACTAAAAAAGCATTCCATATTAACATTTCCATTAAACTGAGTTTTTACCTAGAAAACCTGCAGACATGTTTAGAAGCTAAGTATGAATTTGGGTAAAGCATAAATATAAGAAAGCATTCTTAACTATAAGAAACCTCTATCTGCTAAAGATAGGCTTTACGTGGCTGTTACTTTAATCAGGAGTATTTTCCAAAACTGCTTGTATTTATTTACACCTTCTCTCCAAAAGGACCCATAGAGAACAGCTTCTGGGTTTTTTTTAAACTTGTGATAATCACAACTCAGCTAACGTGCAACAGGCATTCTAGTGGCCTTTTCAAATGTCCATTGTATAGCAATATATATGCATAAGAGCAGAATATAATTGGGATCACCTTGGCATGTACACTTTCACAATAGACCTAAGCAGAAAGCTGTATAAATCGTATTGCTTCTTAGCTATCAGTAGCAGGATGAGCACATGGAGCTGCTTTTTGGGTAGGAAGTGGGGGATGATGATAGACGATAGATCTCTATTTTATGTGCAATGGAATATGTTAGCCATATGGCACAAAGGGTTACATATCCAGTCTAGATTCAAGGATACCAAAGGGCTATATGAGGTTTGAAAACAATTTCAGAACAATGGAATTCCATTTATCAAATAATATTTTTTCTTTGAAAATCAGAACACATTGACCTAAAGTAAAAATTCTGGATAAGCAATTTTAAAAAGACTTAGCACTGTTAAAACCTTAGGACATTTTCTCATATGCCTCTTTTTTTATAGAATTTATGACTTTTGTATTATTCTGGTAGTCTGATCACTTTCTTTATACCTGGCACTGTGCAAGATTCAATGATGAACAAAGACGATTAAGTTTCTGCTCTCAGATTCTATAATATGATGTAAGTATCTTTCCATGTTGATACATATTCATTATCACATAAATGTCTAAACCTATACTTTACATATTATTTAACCTTTTCCAATGCACAGATTTCATTTTCCTCTACCCTTTTGTATTATTCACAATAGTTCTCCTGTGGAAATCCTGGAAGAAAATGTCTCTTTCCTTCCACCCAGTTCTATTTGACCTCATGCCTTCTCCTCTAACTAGAGCCAGGTGTTGATGTGATTGTATCATTTGCACTACTGTAGAAATGTGCACTATTGTATGCAAATGTGCTTTGTATGCAAATCAAAAGAATAGTTGACTTCAAAGTGTTTAGTGGGTTTTGATGCCATCATATTAGCCAGCAATTCTTTAAAAGCCAATTCAGGTGACACATGGCGGTTCATGCCTGTAATCGCATCACTTTGGGAGGCTGAGGCAGGCAGATCGCTTGAGGCCAGGAGTTCGAGACCAGCTTGGCCAACGTGATGAAACCTTGTCTGTGATAAAAATAGGAAAATTAACCATACCTAGTGGCACAAGCCTGTAATCCCAGCTACTCAGGAGGCTGAGGCATGAGACTCACTTGAACCCAGGAGGTGGAGTTCACAGTGAGCTGAGATCATGCCACTATACTCTAGCCTGGGCAAAAACACAGGACTCCATCTGA